GGTTGAAACCTTGTCTCAATGATGAGAACTCTGTAGCCAGGTGACCAATGTATAGTTTACATTATGATGATTTCTTTGAAAGAATCAAGACAGTTTTTAAGAAAATTAAAGCCGAAACAGAGGTAGATTTGTCTAAAGCGGAAAATTGAATTGGGGCTGTTTGATCCCGAAGATTACCCCAACTCTTTGGACTTTTCCATATATAGATGGTTTGTTCATTTATGTGACTATGAAAAGTGTTCAATCCTCTTTCCTTTTTTTTTATTTTAGTGGTGCAATCTGTGCATTGACTTGGTGGCATTTACCAGTGAAATATTCAAAGGAGCAGTTTTCCAGTCACTGGATGGAATTACTGTCTCAGCTAACTGTAAGCTACGAAAGATCTTCACTTTGAAATCGAAGCCTCAAGACACTGCTGATAAAGATGGTATGTTCAGGTCGCTATGAAGATTTTTAAATTCCCCAATATGTTTTTAAAATTAGACATGCCTTTGAATAATAAGAGTACATGATAGTGGGTTTTTAAAATTTATTTTACTTATTTAATTGTGGAAAGAACACTTAACGTAAGATCTATCTTCTTAACAAATTCTTTAACAAGTATGTTATTGTTAACTTTAGGTACAGCGTTGTACAGCAGATCTCTGCTTATTCATCTTAACTGAGACTTTATGCCCCTTGATTATTAACTCCCCATTTTCTCCTCCCCTCAGACCCTGGCAATCATCAGTCCCCTCTTCGTTTACAAGAATTTGACTATTTTAGATACCTCATATAAGTAGAGTCATACAGTATTTGTCTCTCTACATGTAGTTGGCTTATTTGATTTAACGTTAAGTCCTCATGGTTCATCCATGTTGTAGCAGCTGTCATTCTTTATTCTGGATCACATGTGTGTTTTTTACTATACCTGAATGTCACAAATACATATATATATATTTGTGTGTGTGTGTGTGGTTATCTTTCTTTTTTATTTCTGGTAGCACTTACCATCTGAATTAGTCAGAATGTTTTTTAGTTGCTAGCAACATAATCCTCTCAAGGTAATTAAAACAGAAAAGAAAATATTTAAGGAAATTGGCCAGTTTATAGAGTTACAAGGCTATCCAGAGGTCAGGCTTGGAAGCTTTAGCCAAGAACAAACACAGCGCCCAAGATTGCTTCAAGGAAATCCTGATAGTTACTGCTGCTGGGCAAAGACACTGTAAGTCACACCATAACGCTGGGCTCTAGGTTTCAGGATTTCTGTCACTGCTGCCCCTGAAAATTAGATGTCTTCCTTTCTGCCACCCTCGTCAGAAGTGGATTTCTTCTTCATGTTTCTCTCAAATGCACAAAAGCTGACATTACTGGGTCTGATTTGTAGATGCTGCCAGGACACTGGAAAAGAAAATGTCTGATTTTTAACTAGGAATATAACACTCATTGTGTAGCTAAGTCACCAAATTAAGGAGAGCATTTAAAAGATGTCTGGCATTCAGAAAGTGCTGTAGTTGTCCACTATACTATCGTATTACTCTGTACATTTCATGAAGTCATGTGGGAGAAATTATATTAATATATTAATTTTCTAATAATCATGTAAAATAGAAAGATGGCTGAATTATTCCTCATTATTTCTAGAGAGACTAGAAATATGTACATTAATTATTCATTAAAGAATCAATAAATATACTCTACAGGAAACTGAGCCGTCTAGAATTCATAAGGCAGCACAAATTCTCCTGCTAAGATGGTCTTAAACAACTGAAGGTATTGAGAGAATACTGATGTTTCTTTTTGATTTTTGTATGGGATTATTTTTAACAGAATCAATTCTTCTAGAAGCCCAAGAAGCAGAATTACACATAAGATAGCAAAGGTGATTTCTTAGAAGTTTGTATGGAGACTTTAGATTTGTGCTCCATCTGGATGAGTGTCTGAGAAATCCTTCTGTGGTTCATTCTGTGTAACAGGGCACTGTACCTATAAATTTCATTTAATAATAAAAAACAGCAATGTATTTATAGCTCCCCGAAGAGATCACAAGCCAGGAAGTACAGTCGCTTATCTTATACATCATTGAAAAGCTATACAAGAAAGTGAAAGATTTCATTAAAAAAAAGAAAATAAGCACCAGCTAATAAGAAATCTCAAGATTTATAGAAATATAGGTGAATTCTGTATCAGATTGTAAGAGGTTAATCATAACCTGATTGATATTTTTAATAAATGTAAGGGAAAAAGTGAATCAAAATTTGGGAAATTAAATACATTTTTTAATCTCTGATCCTTCCTTAAACCCCAGTAAAATTATAACATAGGAAAAAAAGTGGTATAAACCCACCAGATGACGAGGCGACAACAACAGATAAAAGATGTTCATAAATGTTATAAGACTGAGGAATGGCAACTGACCTAGAAGAACAGAGAAAGCTAAAACTTCTGGGAGGTTTTTCAACAAGAGTCGTAACATAGAGCCTCAGGGGAATGAAGAATTGACTGCCTTAGGAGAGGGTACGAGATGGTGGCATCGGAAGGTCCCGAACTCCCCTTCTCCCACAGACACAACAAATGGAATATGGAATAATTTCCTCAGAAAGGGACCTGAAAACTGAATTAATAGAATCTCCACAACAAAGAGTAAAATGACAGCATCAAGACAGATAGAAGAGACAGAAAGCTTCCCTGAGGAAGAAAACCGCACCCTAGCCACAGCAGTCCACAGTTGGGAGGATCACAAAGGTACAGATCTTTTCCCTGAAGAGTAAGAGATTTGAGCTCCACATCAGGCACCCCAACCCCTAGGTCCTGCACAGGAGAGATGAGCCTCAAAAATGCCTGGCTTTGAAAAACAATATCCAGGAACATATGTCCAGGAAAACTATAGAACTACCAGGATCAGAAACCCCCTCTTAAAGGGCTCACTTGCAGATGTACTGGACCCAAAAACCAGCACAGAACCACCAACTGAAAAGTGCATGGGTCATAGGTGAAGGGGTCCCACATACTAATTTTGAAGCACCTGCTAGAGAGGCAAAAACCAGTTAGAACACTCCCTATGGACTGAAATACTGGAAGTAGATATCTTTGCAATCTCAGGCTAACTTGTAATATTGACACTGTCAGGTACCACTTTGGAATTCTCCCTCTAACCTATAACACCAGTGGGCCCACCCTATGACCCCACCCATCCCTGTGCAATAACTATGTGCTGCAGGCAGTCTGAGAACCAGCCCCATCCATCAGTTCTATAGCAATAGCCATGGCCCGACCAAAACTGGAAGGTACACATAGCCCACATAGAGGGGCACCCCTTGAATGCCTGGTTCTGATAGTGAGGCAAGATTGAGAAGCCGTAAGTGGAAACAGATCTCTAAATCTCACTATTTTGTAAGGCATTTCCCCAAATAAAGCAGGGGAGATGATTTTCAATGCATAATGTATTATATATATAGTAAAGTTTATGACTCAGTTTTTAAAGCTAGTTAACGTTCTCATCAAAGGTGTTAAACACCTATAGAATGGTTCATTTTATGATGACTTTATGATCAAAAAAGGGGAATGGGGTTACAAAGTAACTCAAACATTGTAACAATACAGTAACTCATACTGGGAGCAAAGACAAAAATCTCAGTTGTATTTGGATGCTGCATGAGAAGATCTGTCAGCTTTCTCATAGCCTTCATGTACCATTTTACTTTTCTTCTCTGACCATTCCAGCCAACATTATGTTTTTTTTCAATTTAAACTCAACTATATCATTTTCCAGTCATTAATCAAGCAGTCTGCATGTTTCTATAGTAAGGGTACATGGTAATGGGTTTTTAAAATTTATTTTATTTATTTAATTGTGGAAGGAACACTTAACATAGGATCTATCTTCTTAACAAATTTTTAAGTATACAATATGTTATTGTTGACTTTAGGTCAGTCCCTTCCCGAAGATAAAACTTGTCTGAAAGAACAATGCAGGCAGGCCCTGGTCCCTTAGTATCTAATTGACAGCTTGGTTTGTTATTTGCCTTCTAGGAAGAAAGATGTGATATCCAAATAAAATGTGCATAGAGTACTTTTCAGGATATAGCTGAACAAACAACAACCAAAGAAAAATGGAAGACTTGGCAGCTGTGTTTAATCTAGGTTGGCTGTTATTAAGGGGCTTTTGTCCATGACCATTTATTAAGCACCCACTTTGAACCAGGTGCTGTGCTAAATATATCTATAGGATTCTCTCGTTGTTCTTTCCCATACGAGCAGCCCTTTGGCAGAATTGTTTTTCTTTCAGTTCCTAGAATGCACGCACCAGAGTCCTGCCTTCAGAGTCTTCAAAAGCTGTTTCCTCTACCTGAATGATCATTCCCACCCCATTTCACCAGGCCACTTTCTACTTATTCTTTATGACTCAGCTCAAATGTCTCTTTTTTCTCATTAATCTTTTTTTTTTTGCATTCTTTTTTATTGAAGTATAGTCAGTTTACAATGTTGTGTCAATTTCTGGTGTACAGGAAAGATGATGCAGAGGAGATTTGAGCCTTTTAATGCGAAATCTGATTTGCATGTCAGCCACATTCCTGTAAGTTTCAGATTGGAGTTTTGTAAAGTCTCTGCCCTGTTCTGTCTTCTGTAAAAGCTTATGGAATTTTGGTTACCAGAATTTGATGTCTGGCCCTTACTAGTTGCAAACTCAGATTTTGTTTTGAATACATTTCAAACTTTGTGTGACATTGTACCCTGTACCATCTTCAGAAGCCCCATAAGCTAAAGTTTCCATGATTCCTCTTCATAGGATTCAGAATACAGCCTTATTTTTCAGGTTCATATTAGCCTACAGAATTCTCTTTCTCTATTAGTGTAAAATCTTAGTTTATTGATAATAGCACTGATGTGGAAATTATCTTTTTGTACATCAGAGGAGTCTGAAATGACATGTCAAGTATATTTGGAGTTAGTTTACTTATTTTCCAAATGTTTTCCATTTTGAGAATTCATTTACTCAATTACTTTATATCAGTTTTTTAAATATCAATGACAAGTAACAAATGAGCAGACAAAGAACACCTGAAATCTAAGATTTGTAAATCCAGTGACATTTGAAATGACTAGAGCATTAGGACACTTAGAAACCATTATGTTGCTGATGAGTATATAAGTTTTTAATTAAATAATTCATTTTCCTTTTCAAGTTTAAGACATTAAGATCTAATTAGGGAATTGTCATGGCTTGCATGCACAAAAACCTAACTTCATTTGCCTTTATAAATATGGTTTATACTTATATAAGGATGTTTTTAAGATATGCATTTGGTTGAATTTTTCTTATTACTTATATTCACATATACATACACCAAATTTTTTCCACTAGAGTCTAAAAATAAACTTTTTACTAATAAAAATTAACATATAAATTATTATGAAGAAGAAAATAAAAACTATGCTTAAGCTAACCAAGAAAAGTTATTTAATATTTTGGTACCTTTCCTTCTAGTCCTTTTGCCATTCATACATTTTTTATTTTCTACGGTTGAGATAGAGTTGTGTGTAAATTACTTTCATTTAACTTTTTTTCTTGAGCCTTTCCCATATCATTAAGTCATTTTCATAAATACAGTTTCTTGTGACTCTTTACTGGAAAATCAAGTTGTTTTATTTTCCAGAAATTATAAATACTCATTTATGTAGATCTTCATCTGAATTTCTGACTTTTTTACTCTAAACTAGATTCATAATGTGAAATTATTGAGTGAAATGTCATGGGAATTTTTAAGGCTTTTGATGCACATAGTAAATTGCTTTTTAGAATGCTAATAGCAAGTTAATTCCTACTTGCTACATATAACAAGGCTTAATATCTTTGCCACAAAACAGGTCATATAAATAATTTTTAAATGCTCTAATAGTAAAATGGTTTAAGAACATGAACAGAAAATTTACTGAAATGGTAATTTAAATATTTATACAAGTATATGTGGAGAATATCAAATTTCATTAGAAATAAAATTATGATGATAAAAATATGATTTTAATTATAATAAACTATTTTCTCTTTGAATGTATTCCAAGGTAAGATGTTAACATTAGGGGAAAGTTTCCATGAGCCAATGTACTCCCAGAAATCTTCATTGGAACATACCTAATTAGTTCTTTCGAGACACACTCTAGTATTAAAAAGCAAATATGTTTCCAATCAATGTTCTCATTTATTGTTCAAGTCCCTGAACCTGTTCCATATGGTAAATACTTTATCTCATTTAATTCTTTCTACAGTCTTAAAAAGTAAGCAGTAAAATGATCATGCTCATTTTACAGATGAGAAAACCAAGGCTGTAAGGTTGAGTGACTCATCCAAAGTCATACTCTAAAAGGTTCTACTTTAGTTGGTTTCTTTTATAAAATATGGCTTACATTTGGGGAATGAATGTTTGTCTTTATTTCCAGCTGGATATGGTGTTTCCTTTCCAACAGATGAACCTTCAGACATTATTCCACGAAGCTGCCAACTAACAACAGATGTTCCACAAGTCACACAGCTGCTAAACATTACTAAACTCTGCCAAACTGAAATGAAATTTGGAGGTCATCCTCTACGTTCAGCAGAATCAGGTATGTACTCAAGCACCAAAATTATAAGCATATTTATTTGTAAGACCAAAAAAGAGGGGAAACAGCCTTGCAATGATGCTTTACACAGGTTGAGGTTAAATATTAAGTCACTGTAACGTCGACTCATGTCAGGGATAAATCATTATTTTAAATTTCTCTTTTAGCAACTAAAATATTTCCTGGATTTTTATGTGATAAAACATCCTTGGTTATTCCTCTCCTTTTCCTATATGCTTCCAAGCCCTGCTAGTTATACCTCCCAGACATCTCTCAAATCTGCTCCTCTTTCCAATTATTGCTGCTTTCCTTGTTTGGATCCCCACTGTAACTTAGCCTCCCAGTTAATCTCCACATTGCTATCAGAATTCCCTTTCTGATAATAGAAATAAAAATGTGATTGTGTTACTCTTTGTTATAAGACTTTTAGTGCCTTTCCCACTGTCTTAGAAGGCAAAATGAAAAACCCTTGAGACCTCAAACAAAGCCAGCTTCCCCTCTTCCAAGCCTGCTCCACAGTTTTGTCTCCGTACACTTTTCTCTCATTTCCATTGTGTTAATTTCTGGCCATGCCCTGGACTTTAATATGTCCATATTTTGGAATTGCTCTTTTGTTGGCTTCTTTGCCTTTGTGCCTGGAAAAACTACCAATTCATCTTTCTAGATCCAACTCAAATGCTACCTCTCCTATGCAGCCTTCCATAATTCTAACAAGTAGCGTTCTCTTCCTCCTATGGCTTTTTCTCCCCTAATACTCTTTAATATGTCTGCATTCTCCACTAAAGTGTGGCTGTACCGCATTCTTCTATATCCCTAGCATCTAACACACTGTTTGCCATATATTAGGCCAATGGCTACAAACTCAAATTACCACAGACAGATAAAAAATGAGCAAAGTGGCCTGGATGCCTGGATAACCCATTGCTGGATGCCTTTAACCCACTGAAACAGTTTCTACTTCAGCAGTGAGCCTTATTGGGAGTGGATAGTGAGAGTTAGGGGAGAGGAGTGAGATAGTGCTTCAGAGAAATTGTTCTCTACTATTAAAACAATATTAACAACTATGCAAATGATACAGCCATTAAATGGCAGTTAATAGCCTCTGTGAGAGAGCTGTAGGGTGTGGTGAGGACTGCAGCAAACTGGATTCTCATTCTCAGTCTAGAAAGGACAACTGCAATTCAGTTCTAGCCAAGTGTTGCCTTGCAAGAATGAAGGCCCAGTCTTACCAGATCTTCCTTTTTTTTTTCAAGAAGAGCTCAATATCTCAGTGTTTATGATAAGTCTTCAAATTTTAAAATATTGTCTAAACTAAATTTTTTTAAAACACTCTGTGGGCCAAACAACACATACCAGAGCTGCCAATCTTCTACCTTTGTAATAGACACTCATAACTATTGACCAAACAAATGAATAGTACTTACACATCAAGAAACCTGTCCTTTAGAAGAGTGGTTCTCAACTTCCTGTATGTCATAATCACTTGGGACATTATAAAAATAATTGTTATAAAAATTTTTTTTTTCCTAATGTCTGTGCTTCACCCTCAGAGATTGAGTTAATTGTCCTGGAAGGGATTTTTTTTTCTTTAACTCCCCCAGCAATTCTGATGTGCAGCCAAGTTTGAGAACCTTGAATAACTGGATCACTTATCCCCATGTAGACTATGTGGTTCAGATGACACTCATAAACACTGAAATAATTCAGATGAATGTGAAATGATGGTCAAATAGGATGTCAATGGAGGAAGAAGTAGATCTTGAAAGTATTTGATGAATATTTGTATAAGTATTTATGATCAATAAACAAAAGATTTATGGACATGTAAGATGGTGCAGAAGACTGAACAAAGAGAAGAATTGAAACCATTTTGTAACTTCTTCAGTATAAACCCTGGCAAAGGACTTTGTGTAGCTTCTATTTTTTTATACCTTTTATTATGAAATTTCCAAACTTACAGAAAAGTAGAGAGAATACATGATGAACTCCCCATGTCCACATTACCTGCTTCCACAATTGCAAATTTTAGGCAGGAATTTGTGATAGCAATGAGGACACAGGTAGTAAGAATTTGAATATTTATTAAATAGACTATCTTCAGAGAGAGAGGAAGAAAGAGAGAATACATACAATCTATGTTCATTCAGAACCTTTAGAACTATGTAAAAGGATGAAAAAGATCAGACTACCCAGATAACCACTGTAAACACCAAAGGTCACAGTTCAATCTTAATGGAAGATTCACCACAGAATAAAATGAGTAAGAGTATCTTCGATAACCAAACATTCTCTCTGTATCTAATAGGCTATGATAGCTTTTAGTAACAAAAATGACTAAGTTATAAAGCCCTATCGGATAACTCTTTGCAGTTGTAAGTGCTCTCTTTCCCTTGTATCTCTAGCTTAATATTTTTAAGAATAAATTGTGTCTTTAAATGAAAATGCAATCTTGTATCCAGATATTTTAAGTGTATTTTTTTTAATTTAAAGTTCAAGGACACTTAGAATGCCAGCAAGTAAACAGAAATATGAATAAATAGTAATGGCACTGTTAATTCAGTATTATAATTAAACTTTTCCATAGGCCATGTTTGCTCCTAATTTATAGAAGAGAATATTGTAGATATTTTGCAAATTCCATAAATGGACTTTCAATGCATAAGGATAGTCAATTTGAGTCATATATACAGAAAATTAATAATCACTATCTAATAGCATATTTTTTCTATCCTGTGAATCTCAATTATATTTATATTCGTTTATAACCAAAGGATTTATGATTGTTCCTCTTTAGTAAATCTCATTGCACATGTATGGCAGCTAAGATTACATGAGCATACATTGGACTTTGTAGTTCTCTTTCTACAAATACTTTTCAACTACTAACTTTGACATCTGTAGGCTCTGAGACCTACTGTAAGTGATTATAATAGTAATTACTGTTCCCTATGTTAGACATTTTATTTGAAAGGTGTAGCTAATGAATAATGCCCAAGGACAGACTTTTTAATCATGGAAAAGCCAGAAGATATTTCCTCATTTGAACTATTTGTTTTTGTGTCTTCTTAAAATGTGGACTCCCCATGATGAGATTTGAATTGCATGAAAAATGTGCTCTTGTAACCGACTCTACGGTACTCATGTAAATTGTGGTATTTTATTATAAATGCACATATTGAGAGATCCCGGTGACACTGCTACAGAAAGAAGTAGCTACTTCCTATGAATGCTTTCTGGTGTGTTCATTCAAGCTAAAAGGAAAACCTTGAAACTTCTGTTTTAGAGTGCATTTTGTTGAATGTCATATAACTTGATCAAGAACATTTAATGAAATTAATAAAATACTTGTGTTTCCAAAAAGTCAGTGTTGTAAACCTCCTAGAAGAAAACATAGGCCAAACATTTTCTGACCTAAGTCTTAGCAATGTTCTCCTAGGGCAGCCTACCCAGGCAATAGAAACAAAAGTAAAAATAAACAAATGGGACCTAATTAAACTTACAAACTTTTGCACAGCAAAGGAAACCATAAGCAAAACAAAAAGACAACCTATAGAATAGGAGAAAATATTTGCAAATGATGCAACTGAAAAGGGCTTAATTTCTAGACATAAATAGCCCATGCAATTTAATAACAAAGAAACAAACAATCCAATTCAAAAATGGGCAGAGGGCCTAAACAAGCAATTCTCCACTGAAGACATACAAATGGCCAATAAGTGCATGAAAAGATGCTCAGTATTGCTAATTATCAGAGAAATGCAAATCAAAATTACAGTGAGGCATCATCTCACACCAGTCAGAATAGCCATCATTAAAAAGTCCAAGAACAGTAAATGCTGGAGAGGGTGTGGAGAAAAGGGAACCCTCCTTGCACTGTTGGTGGGAATGTAGTTCTGTGTAGCCATTGTGGAAAACAGTATGGAGAGCCCTCAAAAAAATTAAAAATAGACTTACCATATGGTCCAGCAATCCCACTCCTATGCATATATAAGGAGGGAACTCTAGTTCAAAGGATACATACACCCCAATGTTCATAGCACTGTTCCATGGAAACAACCTAAATGTCCATCAACAGATGACTGGACAAAGAAGATACAGTATATTTATACAATGGAATACTACTCAGCCATAAAAAGAATAAAATAATGCCATTTGTAGCAACATGGATGGACCTGAAGATTGTAATTCTAAGTGAAGTAAGCCAGAAAGAGAAAGAAAAATACCATATGATACCACTCGTATGTTGAATCTAAAACAAACAAACAAATAAACAAAAAAAGGCACAAATGAACTTATTTACAAAACAGAAACAGACTCACAGACATAGAAAACAAACTTATGTTTACCAGGGAGTAAGGGAGGTGGGAAGAGATAAATTGGGAGTTCAAGATTTGCAAATACTAGCTACTATATGTAAAAATAGATAAACAAGTTTCTACTGTATAGCAGCCCAGGGAACTATTATATTCAATATCTTGTAGTAACCAATAATGAAAAAAACATGAAAAGGAATATACTTATGTTTATGTGTGACCAAAACGTTATGCTATATACCAGAAATTGACACAATGTTTAAACTGACTGTACTTAAAAAAAAAAAGTACAGTGTTACCACACATTCACACTGTTTGCTTTGTCAGTTCCCAGGGCACAGTAGCTAATGACTGTTAGTCTGCAGATGACTGTAGGATCTGATGATCTTATTTTCATTAATGGGTCCCCACTTTAATTGAACGAGAGAATCAGATCTGGTTATTGAAACTGAGCATTCAGCTGCTAATGACAAGATACAATGGTCCACTAAGCACAAATCAAAACTAGTAATTTACTTAAAAATTAGGAGGCAGTTTTCCCAAGTCCCTTCAACACAACAGCACTCTTATTGGATTTTTACTCCTTTCCAAATAAGAAGAGACTGACATCCCAATCTCCTAGCACAGCAGCAAACAGGTAAATTAATGGGTCTAACAAAACCATGAAATGCTCATCTAACTGTAGTTGGC